AATAATGTTATTCACCCAAATAGTACCATTATTTAATGTAGACAATTTTGATAGTTAATTACTGGTTTGTATCTACCATCATGTGTAAGATCGTCAAGCGTTTATGTTTACCCTATTGATAGTGATTTAAAAAGTAGCCAGTAACCTACTAGCTAAAACATTTTTCTCATGGATTCAAGCCTAAATAATTAAGAATAACTTAAGGTCTTAATGAAATTGAAATTATTGTAAAAAAAAATTAGCAATCGGTTCATGTTTTCTCAATATTAATCGGCCCAAAAACGAATACCATCATCCAATTCTTAGGATGACGAACAAGAACCTATTGTTAAGTGAATAAGCTCAGAACATTGTTCGAACTATTTGTCAACAACAATTACAATCAGTCAATTTTCGTACGCTGTTTTGTTAGATTTTAAATGTAACGGAATAAATTACCTTTGAGCATAACTTTAAAATGGGGAAATTATCAGTTACTTCTAACATTGGAGTCCAATCGAAATATCTATCAGACGTTTTTTGATGGTTTATTTAGTTGATTTAGTTCCATTTTAGATATTTTTCTAAAACCATAAAAAATGTGGTTTTCATTAGGAGGATATAATAAGTGATGAATTGAGTTGCCCACGTCTATTATGTATCGCTTATGGCTAATAACCAATAAAGTCACCTCCATTTTAAGTTTAAAATATTAGAGATTAGTTAACTATAGAACAATCAGCAAAATAATTAGACTTATAAGACTTTGAATTTTTTCGTTGTGGATGTTATAAACTGCAAATGATCTGTCTCCTTTTTCGTATGTATATATCGAGTAGATTGCGTAGATGTTGCCACTAAATCGCAAGCATTTTTAAGGAGATGTACGATAATGGTTATCAGTGTAATACACGTTTCATCCCTTTTGGGACTCGTCATTTAGATATATTTGTACTTCACTGGTGTTCTCATTCCAACTCAATAGACAGTGTGTTATCCAATGAGTTAAGGAGTTCGAATAGCCAATGACTCGCACAACAGGGTTCAAATTTAAATTCACTACTCACGATTTATTGCGAGAGGTACCGGGTTTAAGAACTGATTGGAACATTAACAGTGCAGGAATATTCAGCTGATAAGTCCTGAATGGAACTAAACCCGCATCCTGAATTTGATTGCCAGCTGCCATCAAACCTTTGCTAATTAAATAAAAAGTCCAATTAACTTGAAGGAATATAAGAGTATTTTATTTAACCAGACTATGCTAAAATAATATCGTTTCAATCTACAAAGTGAAAGTTCATATAAAAAAAGACAGAAAAATTTTCGTGCGTATAAAATTCAATAAAAAGTTTCCGTTCCAGCAAAAAAAATAAATCTTTGTAAATTTATTTTTGTTCAAATTGAGCAACATAAACACGAGTACCAGATGCGAACGCAATTTGTAGTGTACGTTTGTAAATGCTTTCGTTTGTCTTTGGTTCATTAAAGGCCAAGGAATAAATACCACTTTTCAAATTTGTCACAGATCCAACATTCTGAATAGTTAGTTATTCGAAAAAAAATGTTAAAGCACAGTTTGATAACAAATATTGATATGAAATTACATTACAGTGACACGTTACCAAGAACAGACTTGCGGTGACAATACAAAAGTTGACAACAAATACATCTGTTATCTCAAAGTTCCTTACGTCTCACTAATCCACGACAATTTAATAAGATAATACATAGCTGTAACTGTAAAGAATTATTACTTGTTGATAACACAACGGGACAGACAACATCACACAAGTTCAACACAGCCTTTCTTCGGGTTACTGTAAAGCTCAACGAATTCAGGATGGCCCTCACCAATAGGTTCCAGGCTTTCAGGATCTACTCAATGGAGAGGAAGCAACATTGGAGAACAATTGGAAAGGGATTAGGGAGGTAATCACTTCAACATGTCACGAAGTTCTGGGTCACAAGAAGTACCATCATAAAGAATGGATCTCTGTTGGTACTCTTGAAAAAATTCAAGAAAGGAGGAACAAGAAGGCAGCAATCAATGTCAGCCGAACAAGAGCGTAGAAAGTTATCGCACAAACTGCATACACAGAAGCAAACAGGAAAGTGAAGAAGAGCATCAGAGCTGACAAACGGAAATATGTGGAAGATCGAGCAAAAACAGCGAAAAAGGCTGCAAAAGACGGAAACTTGAGACAATTGTACGAAACAACAAAGAAGCTCGCCGGAAACTATCTAAACCAGAACGACCAGTGAAAAGCAAGGAAGGCAAAGTAATCAGCAACACTGAAGAACAGCGAAATAGGTGGGTAGAGCACTTTAAGGAACTATTGAATCGACCAGCTCCACTGAACACACCCAACATCGAAGCAGCATCCACGGACCTCCCAATTAATATTGGCGCGCCTACAATTGAGGAGATCAGTATGGCCATCAGACAAATCAAGAACGGCAAAGCAGCAGGACCAGACAACATTCCACCAGAGGCAATGAAAGCAGATGTAGAAGCAACTGCGAAAATAATTCCCATCCTCTTCAAGAAGATTTGGGATGAGGAACAAGTACCATCAGATTGGAAAGAAGGATGCCTCATCAAAATACCAAAGAAAGGCGATCTCAGAGAGAGAACTGCATAGGCATCACTCTTCTCTCAATACCAGGCAAAGTCCTCAACAGAGTATTTTTTTAAACAGAATGAAGGACTTCGTAGACGCCCAACTTCGAAATCAACACGCTGGATTTCGTAAGGATCGATCGTGTATGGACGAAAATGCTGCATTACGGATCATTGTAGAACAATCAGCTGAGTGGAACTCACCACTATACATCAACTTCAACTACTTCAAGCATTCGATAGCATGGATAGGTAAACACTATGAAGGCTTCCTCGACATTACGGGGTGCCTGAGAAAATAGTTAACATCATTATACGGAAACTCTTATGATGGATTCAACTGCAAAATCGTACAGGAAGGACAGCTAACAGACTCTTTCGAGGTGAAGACCGGCGTGAGGCAAGGTTGCTTACTCTTACCCTTTCTCTTTCTCCTGGTCATCGACTGGATTATGAAGACGTCAACATCTGGAGGGAAGCAAGGTGTCAACTGGACAGTTAGTACGCAGCTGGACGATCTGGACTTCGCAGATGACTTGGCTCTTCTATCGCACACGCAACAGTGTAGCAGCAGCGTCTGCAGCAGTAGGTCTCAACATACGTAAAGGAAAAAGCAAAATTCTCCGATGCAACACAACATGCACCAACCAAATTACTCTTGATGGAGATGCCTTGGAGGATGTTAACACCTTTACATATCTTGGCAGCATCATCGACAGTCAAGGTGGATCGGATGCAGATGTGAGGGCACGGATTGGCAAAGCAAGCGCTGCATTTCTACAGTTGAGAAATATCTGGAACTCCAAACAACTTTCAACCGAAACCAAAATCAGGATTTTCAATACAAATGTGAAGACAGTTCTACTGTATGGAGCGGAAGCATAGAGAACTACGAAAGGCACCATCCAGAAGATACAAGTGTTTATTAACAGCTGTCTACGCAAAATACTTCGTATTCGTTGGCCAGACACCATCAGCAACAACGAACTGTGGGAGAGAACAAATCAGATTCCAGTGGAGGAGGAAATCAGGAAGAAATGGTGGAAGTGAATAGGACACACACTGCGGAAAGCACCAGGCCCTCACATGGAACTCTCATGGTCAAAGGAAAAGAGGAAGACCAAGGAACACATTACGCCGAGAAATAGAGAAAGATATGAGAAGAATGAACAAACATTGGACAGAACTAGAAAGGAAAGCCCAGGACAGAGTTGGTTGGAGAACAATGGTGGGCGGCCTATGATCCATTCAGTTTACGTCAT